TCCCATTTCACATGTGTGGAAACTAAAGGTTGGGTAGGTCTGGTAACCGTTTCGAGGGCACCCAGCTAGTATGTGACAAAACCAGTTCTTAAGTCCAGTATTCTCATTCTAGCTCAGGCCTCTCTTCCACTACCATTCCCTCGAGAAACAACACCTGCTCACGTCTTTGACCCACATTACAACAACACAGGTGAGAGCCAACCACCACTCCTTAACCCTCTCCAGGGTACCCTACACCACAGCCACACACAATTTCCAGCAAATTATCCAAATGACGGACCTTGTATCTTACAGAAAGAAAAGATACATGAACACTAGACTTTTAAGCCTTTACACAAAAAGCAATAAACAGCTAATGTCACAAGCTAAAAAGAAAAAATATGGAAGAACCATGCTTTAAGTTTTTATTTCTTCCCTTGAATTTCTCCTTTGTCTATAATTCACAGGGGGAAAGTCATATGTGCTACCAATTAGTACCCTGATGAATCAGTGATGACCACCCAGGAAAGGAACACTACACCCTGCCATCTGCTCCAGCAATGAATGATCTAAACAGATGCTTACTGCAAACCTAAGCACACTATTCTACTGGATCACATTCTATAAGGAAATGGGGAAACAGTGGGTTTTTTCTATAAAAGGTATGAATCAACCTACTCAACTAATACATACTGAGTATAATTTAGAAAACACATAGGCATGATGGCTGGTGTAGTCCCAGCCATACAGGAGGCAGAAACTGGGACAATCATGGTTCAAGGCTAGCCTGGGCAAAAAGTTAGCAATATTCCCCTCTTCCCTGTCAACAAACAAACCAGGTGTGGTGCTTCATGTCTGTAATCCCAACTAGGTGGGCGGCATGGGTAAGAGGATCATGAACTGAGGCAAGCTTGGGCAAAAAGCACAAGACTATCTTAAAAATAGATAAAGCATAAAAGGGCTGGGAGTGTGGCTCAAGTTGTAGAGTGCCTGCCTGGCCAAGTATGAGGTCCTGAGCTCAAATTCCCATAACACACACACACACACACACACAAAGTCCAGAATTAGAAAACATCCCCATTTTGTCCATCACCTGTTTGCTTACAGTTCATAGCCCCTTTCCCCAAATCCCAGTCCTGTGCCCCCCAATTGGAACAATTACTCAGCATCCTAGGAGGTCCAAGTCATTGACGTCTAAGACCATTTCCTTGCCCGTCACCTTTCTCATGCTCTCCTCAACCCCCTTCCCCAGGGTGAACTACATGCTCCCTCATTACTATGCCCCTTATTCAATCCTGCATCCTCTTTTTCTGTTCTTCCATGGCATTTGCTTGGCTAAAATCAACTCTGTACCAAACTCCTCAGCGTCCCTAGAGCAACTGAACGTGGATGAAGAAAAACATTCTCATTAACTGCTTTCCCTTTAAATTCATGACCACTGCCCTTAAGCCAACCCTTAATGTTGCACTGTAGTTTTCTTAGAAATTCTCAGTTTATTAACTCACCCATTTCTACACTATATTTGCTATCTCCTTTCTCCCGCCACACCCCGCTTCAGACTGGGGTTTGAACTCGGGGCCTGCACTTTGAGTCTCTCCACCAGCCCAGTTTTTTTGGATCTGATTTTTTTTTGAGATAGCGTCTCATGAATTATTTGCCCAGGCTGGTTTTAAACCACTGATATCTGCCCCCTGAGTAGCTAGGATTACAGGCGTGAGCCACTGGCGCTTGGCTTCCTTTCTCCTTGAACCTCCATGTCTTTTCTTTCTTCTATTCAGTTAATGCTCTTTCTTTTTATTTCATTGATAACATCTATATATTCCCACAGTCACATCCCCAACCTCCTTTTATCTGTACCTGTGTTTCCACACTCCCCCTTGTTAAAATGGATGAACTGTTTGCCCTCCTAATACCAACCTCTCTACCTGTGCGCCAGAACTCAGGGTGGATCCATCCTGTCACTTCCTACATGGGACCTTCTCTCTTGCACCACTGACACTTCATTCACTTCATACAGTCATCCCATGAGCACAGAACATTCTCAATTATTCCCATCTGTCTCCGTGTCATCCTCCACTTACTGCCTCATTACTCTGTTTCCTGTAAAAATTCTGGAAATGTCTTTCTATACCTCTGGTCATATTCCCTCCTGCATCTACTCCAACTATACTTCCAGCTCCATCAGGCCCCTGAAATGACTCTTGTTTAAGGTCAACAAGACTGTCTTTGGACGGTTAACGTTCTGTTCTCATCCTACTGAACCTTGCAGCAATCTATGACTCATATTCACAGCCTCCTCTGCAAACTACTGGCTTCCTTTGATAGCAGACCCTGTCACTCTTGGCTCTTCTAACTTCTGGCTCTGCCCTCCCAGGCTCTCATCTTCCCAGACTCTAAAGTTGCAGGTCCTCACAGCTCACATCTTCAAATTCTTTTTTTTTTTAACTGTAATCACTCTCTCTGATCTTGTCCAATCCTAGTGGCTGATATTTAAGTGACAATTTTGATCTCTAATCTTGACCTTTACCCCAACTTCAGGTTATACCTTAAGCTTAACATGACAAAAACCAAACTCTTGGCATTCTTCCCCAGACTACTCCTCCAACAGCTGTTCACAACTGTCTAAATGGTACTTGCATTTTGACATTTATTTTGTCCAAAAACCTTTGACACTGATGTCCTTGGGCTCTTTCCCTCCCATCCCCTATATTCAATCCATCAGCAAATGTGTTGATTCTTTCTAAATGTGTTCAGAAACCAGTTATACCCCAATAACTCCACTGCTATATTCAAGTGCACATCACCACCACACCCACATGGATTACTAAAACACAATTCTGAATTCCTCACTATTCCAATATTCATAGTAGAACATGTCATTACTTTGTAATGTCATATCACACCACCACAGACATGGGAACCTTTCATGGTTTCCATTTCACTCAAAGTAAAAGCCAAAGTCGTCACAAAAAATTTTCAAGGACCTATGTGATCAGAACCACTTTCTCCCACTCCCACCCCTACCCTGTCTCCTGTCCCTCTCTCTGACTCAACAGCACTGACGTGACTGGTCTCCATGCTGTTCTTCACATACGCCCACAACACAGTAGCCTTGATGGCCTTTGGGCTTTCTGTCCCCATCCCTAAATTCTCTTCCCCCAGAGAGCAGCCTCACTTTCTTCAGGTTTCTTTCAAAAACCACACCATTTGTTTCACTTTCCTTACCTTGAACACATAAAATAGCATCTTTGCCTACATTCTTCCACCCCTCCCCCGATCTTACTTTATTTTTTTATGGCACTGAATACTATAGAACATTGCCTATCTATTTAGCATCCATCACTTACTCCTCAGAATCAGGCAAGGGCTTGTTTGGAATTTTGTTTGTGTGTGTGTGTGTGTGTGTGTGTGTGTGTGTGTGTGTGTGTGGTTCTGGGGCTTTATGCATACTAATCAAATGCTCTACCACGGTATTCATTCACCAGTGGACTAGTACAGTGCCTAGTGTATAGTAGACACTCAATAAATACATGTAAAGAAATGATAGATTATTACCAGCAGCATTATCAGTATTACCTTTATTACTTAAATGCCTAGAACTAAAGGGCTGCAGCACAACAACTGCACGTGATGCTCTAAGACCAAGTGAAACGCAACTTAAGCCAGGTAACCTTGCTGGGAGGCAGGGATAGAAAGCAGCTAGAATTGACTGGGAAGGAAGATGGCACACTTTACATGGTAAGGCCAAAGTTACCTGAGGAAAATCATTTCATACCTCAAGATTCTGATGTTAATCAAAGCTAGTAGTACGATCATAAGCAGCTTTTATCCCACATAGAACACTATTAGAAGAACTTTGTATTATTCTATTTCATTACTAATACCCATGGAATATAAATGGTTAACAGAGGAGCAAGCTGAAAAAAGGAGAAAATGTGATTTTCTTAAATCAGTAATTTTAAATCTTCTATTACATCACACAATAACAATGTCTCCCTTTTTCTTATCATGTTCTCTTTTCAAGTAGAAAGAGAAAGCACACTCAAACTAGTAATTTTAATCATTTAGTCACAAGGGTTCAAAATAAAATAAATTTTAAGGTCATATCATTTTGTATTATAGTGACTTATTAAATAGATGATATCTTCTTTTAGGAAAAGCATGTGTTACTGTGTCCTTTTTTCAAATGGGAACAGAATTATAACATTGTGTCAAAATGTTAAAATTCAGAATGAAAATTTGCACAGCATGTGAACAGTAAATAATAAAACAAGGTGATATACAACATATCAGAGAAAATAATATGAAAGGTTATACGTAAGTTAATGGGGAAGTAGACAAGGCAAGAATTTTTAAAACACAAGGATTGAAGGTTGTGTCCATTGACAGCATTTTGGCATATCTATTTACTAACCAAAGTGCAAATGTGCATAGAAACCAAATTGAGCAGAATAAAAGCATAATTTAAAGAAAAGTTCAAGTTCAGAAAAATAAAACATATAAAGTGATCTTAGATACTTAGTCTTTGTTTGCTATAGGACTTAATTCTGTCCTTTTTTTCCACTATTATTTAATAAAAACAAGATCATTTATTTTTTTGGTGGTGCAAGAGACACAACCCAGGATTTCCACCATGCCACATAAGTACTTTACCTCTGAGTTACACTCTGAGACCGAGTTTGTGATTTTTTTATGACTCTATGACTTCTGAATTTAAAGTTAAGCTAATTTGCAGTCTAAATTTTTCCCAACATAATGTATTGATATTCCAAAAATCTATTAAAAAGTTAGATAAATTTCATGAGAAGCTAAAAGCATTATTATGCTTTACATACCTGAAATGTTTGGAAATTTTAATTAAATATGAAGGAACAACTTGACATGAAACCAATGGAAGCAACTAATGTAGTTTAAGAAAAATGTCTAAATACTGACAAAAGAGTTTGATATTTCTTTAGAACTTCATTTGAAGTAGTTGACAAAATTAAGTTAAAGATATCCCCCAGAGATAGCCAACCTACCTTACAGTGGTCATATTGGAGCTGTAAGGCTGGAACATCTCCTCCAATCGGCATCTGTTTTTTAAGCTCTTCATCTTTCATATTCAGCCATTTGATCAGTTCTTCTAAAGACGCCAGCAATCTGTTCCACTTCTCAGCACTGGCCTCCAAATGGGCCCTGTTGAGAGATAACGCTGATCACATTTAGAAGGTTGAATTGAATTCACAAATTATACACCTTTCTGTAGCCTAGCAATCTTGTTGGCCAACTAAAGTTCACATCCAAAAAAGACTGACATGGTACAAGTTATAATATCTAGAGGAAATGCTTGTATTACTAATTGAAAATTAAGACATGTACCTCCACAATACAAAGGCATAAATAAGAAGCTATCAAGAGGGACATCAATGAGATAATGAAAACCTACAAACCAAGTCCTGGTGGTAAATGTGTAGAATACATGCACAGCCAAATATTTCTCCTCATTTTATCTATACACAGGATGGGAGGGCAGAGACAAATTCTATGCCTATAAAACATTTTGAAGTGCTCTTAGTGGTGACATTTAGGGTCACTACTAAGAGCACGAAAACACCTAATTTTTTTTTTTTTGGTGGTTCTGGAGTTTGAACTCAGGGCCTCAAGCTTGCTAAGCAGTCACTCTACAGCTTGAGCCATCCCACCAGCCCAACACCTAATTTTTTTATGTTTTTGTATCACTTCAATATTTGCAACAGACTCATTATTTTGCTTTCCAAAATAAAAAACTGACTAATTGTTTAGATAGGAAATTACTGATTCTTAATTTCTCTTAGGCACTGTTTGATCAGGATACTATTTAGCTTAAGGCTGACTGACATCCAGTGACAAATGACCATTGTGAATAGAGAAAAATTAAGCAAAAATCATTGATTGCAGTACTTCATACTCCGATTGGTTGACTGATTGACTTTGTAGAATGACAGTTGAACCCAGGGCCTTGACATGCTAAGCAAGTACTACCACTGACCTCTATACTCAGCCATTATATTCTGATTTAAAGGTGACGTGTTTGTCTCAACAATCAGGTCTGTTTTAAGCACAGACATGCACCGCTAGAATACGTCAGTTATGAACTACATTATCAGGGACCATGGCTGGTAAGGATGTGGTTACAGTTCTAGACTACCAGTCTACTTGAGCCATGTCCCCAATGTGGTTAAGGTTCTAGTAAGAGCAAAAGCCCTTGAGAACAGAAGTATAAATCAAAGAATAAATCCCTCCTGCTCTTAAGCCCTGGAAAATCCCACTTACCCAGTCCCAAGCCCATAGAAAGGCTGGATTTAAAATATGGATCAATCAGGAAAACACTCCCAAAGACTCAAGGAATCAGGCTTTCCTCAAACCTGTCCCCTCAAACAGGAGACAAACATGAATGTGGACTTAAGTGCCAACTTCGTGAAAAGGAGTGGAACCTTCGCTGTCTGTGATCATTCAGGTTTAGCAGAGCAAGACTGGTCAGGGTGTGGTGATTCAAGCCTATAATCTCAGCTACTTGGGAAGTAGAGATCAGAAGTATCAAAGCTTGAGCAAAAACTTAACAAGACCCCATGTCAATAAGGTGGGCATGGTGGTACATTCCTGTTATCCCAACTACCCCGGAGGATATGGGCAGGTAGATCAGGACGAGGCCAGGAAGGGCAAAAACATGAGATCTTATTTGAAAAATAACTACAGCAAAAAGGGCTGGGGGCATGCTCAAGGGGTACAGTGCCTGCGTAGTGAGTGTGAGGCCCTGAGTTCAAATTCTACTACTACTACAAAAAAAAAGAGGGGCAAGGGACGTAGATGAAGATGGACAGATGGATAACCTTGTTACACAACAGCTTCCAAAGAAAGAAGACTTATGAGTTAAAAAGACGACCCACTGAGTTAATCCCACCTACAAGAGATCTCTGTTGACCAAGTTTCATATCTCCTCACACGACACCTCTCACCTTGACACTGGCATTATGATCCCCAGCTCCACACGTATGCTCCCTCGCTGACTGATAAGGGACCAACCAACCAGACACAAACTCTACAGCTTTTCAGGCTTCTCAGAAATTCCCCTTTTCACACATTTGACCTACGTGAGCCTCTATTCCCAAAGTCACAACTCTGCTATAGTTAATTGACAAAAATATTCTTCTATTGATCATATTAGATGGTGTTCCCAGCAACAGATATTCAAAAGTCTCAAACATCTTTGTGACAAAGTTCATATTTTCAGAAGAAAACAAGATTAGATTAGAAATGTCTAATCTCTACTTTGTCAGTGTCATAAAATAACGATAGTCTATCAAGCAATATGCTTGGTCAAAAGAAAAACAACTGGAGTTCTGCCTATCTTTTAAAATACCATGATTCAGCTAAAGGGATGACTTAGGTAGTAGAGAAACCCTGCCTAGCAAGTGCAATGTCCTGAGTTAAAACCCCAATACCACCAAAAGACAAATAAAACACAGGTATACACATAGGTATACACGAAAGATCAATTATCTTGTGATATTATTTATAATTCCATTGCCAATTGGCTGATATTTTTTTAAAATTCTATGTCATATTCAAAAAGGCTAGGTATGGAATAAAAATAATTTATAAATACAAAAAAGAGTTTGAGGCATTTTATAATTCTTTGAGAACTAAATGATTAGAAATTTATATTCTTGATCTTCTATTGTTAGAGCTTGTCCCAAGTACAATGATCAGCTTCACTTTACAAAACTGTACTTTAACAAGGTACTAATTTTGCCTTAGCTCCAGCCTCTCCATACTATTAATCAATTTTAGCCCAAATATGTAATTACATTTCCCTGATAAACAACAATTTTACTTGTCTCAGAGCTCAACTAAATAATTTCAATTATATTAGTTTAAAATTCTCTCTGCAGTTATGACCCATAATGCAACAAGTACATTTGACAGAACTACTGCCATTTCTTCTTTTTTAAATGCAAGAATCTAGTTAGAAATCAAAGGTCCTCAGTCGATCAAAAAGTGCTTGAGTGTCTCCTGTACAAATCACTATGCACATGCCCTGACCTCCTATTCAAATCTGAGCTGCCTCTTCAGTATTTGGTAGTTTCTCTCATTAATCAGTAACTAAGCCACACATTATATTCCTCTGAAATCCAGGTGCACACACTTATCGAAGAGCACACCAATGTCTTTCCTAATGCAATAAACTCTTCTGACTGCACAGGAATTATGAAACTGGTCATTGATCCTTATGGCATTCAGCACCTGAAGTACTACCTACAAGACACAAATACTTTTTATAAGAGATGCTGAAGTGACTTTCAAACGAAAAAGAGAACATTGGTGTGTGGGCTTCTCTGCATCTTTGCTTCCCTACTGTAAAAAAGCAAGCTCATCTGGCAGAATCTTGCTTGGCAAATCTCTTCTGGATATTCTCCAATAGATTATACCTCTGTGTTTAGTGGATTACTACCATATGCCTAAATACATGCCTGATTCTGTAGTAGCCTTCAGTATTCCAGCTCCATTTTAATTCTTTCATCTTGAAAGATGAAAGCCTTTTCTCAGGCAGTGGGTGCCTGCTATGTAAAAAGAAACTTTACATTGGGGTTTGGCTTAGTTGAACTTTGTCAGTGTTACTATAAACATTTTAAAACTTCAATCTCCCCAAGAGTACAGATGACAGGTCATCAATCATGCTTTCAGAATCTTCACTTAAATCATTGCTTTATCTGCACAAATCTGTAGGAACTCACATTTTTCCTTAGTTGAGTTATTCTAACTGCTTAACTGCTTCAGTTTATTCCTCGGGTACTTGATGTGTACAAAGCAATACTTTCCCTGACTGCATTATCAACATAAGATAACATCTATTACAGACTATGCTTCACACAAGAACCCCTTTTTAGATTAAATTGGTTTTTACAACTTTCTAAGTTTCACAGCTCTTTAAGTGACTAGTTATTCAAAATAATAATGCAAAAAATGTTGGAAGATAAAGATCCATAAAAATGCTACTTCAAGGACTGGAGGCGTGGCTCAAGTGGTAGAGCACCTGCCTGGCAAGTGAAAGCTCCTGAGTTCAAACCCCAGCTCTACCAAAAAAAAAAAAAAAAAAACTACTTCATCAAATATAATAAAAAAATAACTATGGAGGGAACCAGAAACTAATAACTATTTTAAATCATGAACAATGTCTGCCTTTTAAGCAAAGTGTCTATGTAAGAATATAAGGATCCAAATTAAGAGAGAGAAAAGATATACTACCTCCTATTGAATAAGGACTTCACAGAATTAAATTTGGAAGTCTGACTACAAATGTAACTCCTTTATGGTTTATGGCAAAATCGCACAGATTATAAATTGAAAGAAAATACCTTAATTAGTGCAAGAATAACAGGTAATATTATAAGAGGATTCATCCTTCTCCCAAGAAGAAAATAAAGACCTATGAGGAGAAGAAAATCAAGTCCTCAAAATTCAGCCCAAATGTGCTAAAAAACACCAAAGCTATGCTCTGGATATGGTAGCCACCAGCAACACATGGCTATTTAAGTCTAAATTTAGTTTCATTAAAAGTAATAAGATTTGATATCCAGTTCATCAGTGACACCAGGCAAATTTTAAGTGCTTAATATACCACAATGGCTCCTTGGTGTTGTACTGATCAGAGCAGATAGAGAACATTTCTGTCACGACAGATTATTCTATTGGAAAGTGAGGTAGCAGAGAAAAATGAGAAAGATGAGAGCAGGCTCTCCCTCTATTAGACTTGAGAGATTTTAGCAGTTTTATAATATAGTTAACAAAATCGACTATCTAAGACTGAAAGTTGGCGACAGTGACCTGTAAAATGTGATAACATGAGATGCAAAAGATGGTGTTAAAGGTTAATCTTCTCTTAGGGCTTTAAAAAGGTGCCCTGAGTTTTTAAGAGGTTCATAAAAGAAAGGGAAGATAGAATTTTATCTTTGAGCTCTGTTTTCATTAGATTTGGCAACTTCCCTGACCTTGGAAATCATCTGTTAACAAGGATCTCTATTAAACATCATTAAGCTTCTAAGTGGATATTTAACATAATCTTACATTAAGTAAACTTAACTTAAAATTTAAGCCATGTCATTCACAGCACTGAATTTATTAGTATATTTCCAGTTCACATTTTCCAGTGAGTATAA